GTGTGTGTGTGGTGTGTGTGTGCTGTGTGGTGTCTGTGTTGTGTGTGTGTGTTGTGTGTGTGTATATGTCGTGTGTGTGTTGTGTGTGTATATGTCGTGTGTGTGTGTGTGGTGTGTGTGGTGTGTGTGTGTGGTGTGTGTGTATATGTGGTCTGTGTGGTGTGTGTGTGTGGAGTGTGGTGTGTATGGTGTGTGTGTATGTGTGGTCTGTGTGTGGTGTGTCTGCATGTATCACTGAGTTTGAGGGGAGGTGTGCCACTGCTCCTGCTCCCCCTCCCTGTTCCCCTGCTGGAGCTGTCAATGGCCTGGAGCTGTGTCTCTCTGGGTGTGTGCATCACGTGCATGCAGTTGGAGGAGCCAGTGGGATCCTCCAACTTCCAGAGGGAGAAATAGTGTCCACGGAGCCCAGCGGAGGCTTGGCACAGAATGGGGAGTGAACAGAACTGCCAGCCCATACAGCAGCCTCTGTGCAGATGAGACAAAGGCACTCCCCACCTTGCCTAATCAGCTCTCGCAGGTCTATGGTTTGGCAGGCAGATGGCACCCTCGTGTGAGTTTGAAAGGGGCACTCCTTACCCCAAATGGATGCAGCCCCACTAGCACACGCCCTGGGGAGGAGAGCCCAGCAGGATTTCAGCCTCTCAGCCAGACCCCTTTGTGCAGTGCACGACCTGCCCAACCCTACATGGCAGCCCTCAATGAATGAAGGAATCCACAGTGCTGCATGCATGTGCCACTTCCGGAAGGGATGTGTCTCTGTGTGGGGGACAAAGGCATCCATGCTGTACAGGTCACAGTGCTCAGAGACCTGAGTTCAAAGCCCAGCCCCACTCTTTGGGCACCTTAGGACTCAGGCAAACGATGGGACCTCTTGGAACCTCAGAGTCCTCATCTGAAATGAGTGTGTCAATACACATATATGTGGCCCGCAGAGATGACAGCTAGGAAAGTTGCAAAGCCAGTGAGGAAATGGGAGCATGTCTGGGGCTGCTGTTGCTACTAGGACAGGGAGGCTGGCTGAAATGGCATGCCAGGGACACCCTGAAGGAAGGGACAAAGGAGGCAGGTCAGACCAGGATCTGGTCTTCCCAGAGGAAGGAAACAGCAGGTGCACAGGCAGGAAGGTGGAGTGTCCTGAGCATGAACTTGGAAGGTATGAAGGGAAAAGGAAAGGATGAGAAGAGGAGCTCCTGGCAGAGTTGGGGTTTTATTCCAGGTGTGACGACAGGGAACCAGAGTGTGGACAGGGGAGTGGTTGATGCCATTTGAACTGTTTCCTTTTTTTTTTTTTTGAAATGGAGTCTCACTTTGTCACCCAGGCTGGAGTGCAGTGGTGCGATCTCAGCTCACTGCAACCTCAGCCTCCCAAGTTCAAGCAATTCTCCTGCCTCAGCTTCCCGAGTAGCTGGAATTACAGGCGCCTGGCTCATTTTTGTATTTTTAGTAGTGACAGGGTTTCACCATGTTTGCCGGGCTGGTCTTGAACTTCTGACCTCGAGTGATCCGCCTGTCTTGGTCTCCCAAAGTACTGGGATTACAGGCGTGAGCCACCATGCCAGTCCCTATTACCTTTTTAATTGTGGGAAATACACCATTTAACCATTCTCCAAGTGTCTGATTCGGTGGCATTAGCATATCTGTGAGGGTGTGCAGCCATGGCCATTATCTAGTTCCAGGGCGTTTTCCTCACCACACGAGGAAGACTGGCACCCATGAGTGGCCACTCCCATCCCCCTGTCCCCAGCTCCGGGCAATTATTAATCAGCTTTCTGTCTCTGTGGATTTGACTATTGTGACGTTTCATATTAGTGAAATCATACACTAAGTGAGCTTTATGGCTGGACTTTTCCACTGAACGTCATGTCTTCAAGGTTCGTGCATGCTGTGGTTTGTATCTCAGCTTTTGGTACCTGTCACGGTTTGTTGGGCGCTTGCATTGTTTCCAGTGTTTGGCTGTTGTGCAAGGTGCTGTCATAAACATTCAAGGATAAGTTTTTGTGTGGACACATGTTTTGAATTCTTTGGGGTAGACACGGCAGAGTGGAAGTGCATGGTAATTCTAGATAACTTTGTTTTATTGTTTGTTTGTTTGTTTGTTTTTGAGACGGAGTCTCACTCTGTCACCCAGGCTGGAGTGCAATGGCATAATCTCAGCTCACTGCAACCTCCACTTCCCAAGTTCAAGAGATTCTCCTGCCTCAGCCTTGTGAGTAGCTGGGACTACAGGTGCACGCCACCATGCCCAGCTAATTTTCTTTTTCTTTTCTTTTCTTTCTTTTTTTTTTTTTTGTATTTTTAGTAGAGACGGGGTTTCATCATATTGGCCAGGCTGGTCTTGAACTCCTGACCTCAAGTGATCCACCCGCCTTGGCCTCCCAAAGTGCTGGGATTACAGGAGTGAGCCACCACGCCTGGCCCAATTCTAGTTAACTTTTTAAGGAAGCGCCAAACTGTCTCCCACGGTGTGGGTCAAGCCATTTCTAAGACTCCCATTAAACACCCAAGTGGACAGGTCCAGTGGGCAGTGGGGTATTCTAGCACTGAGTCAGGGGAGGGGTCCAAGCTGGAGCTGAAAAGGAAAGCTGAGGCCCCATGCAGGACGGCGATGGAGCTCACTGAGGCTCCGGAAGGTTCACCTCCCAACCCTCTGCCCATCCCCACCAGCAGCAATGTTATCTACAGTGGTGTGGTCCCTAGACACACACGATGGAAAGAGACGTGTAATAGAAAATAACACCGAGTGATATGTATTGACTCAATCCCATCCACCCCCTCCCTCCTTTATGCTGCTTTCATTTCTTTACGGCTTCCTTCATCGTTCCTTTATATTTCTTCACAATTGGCGTCAACATGTGTCCCATTCATTTGTGTCCATCTGCTGACTGTCTCCCCTCACTAGCACGTAAACCCCCGTAAAGGCAGGAACCCTGTGGGCTTATTCACTGCTGCATCCTCAGCCCAGGGAGGCTGCTCAGGAGACATTTATTGAATGAAGATGTGCAGAACGAATGCACATCCTGTGCATCATGCCGGCTCCTGGGAAGCTCTATGGCAGCCTCTCGGCAGCTCGCTCAGGGCAGGCGCTGTTCAGAGTAGGTTCTCGCACACAGGAAACCTAAGACTCCGTGGGTAGTCACCCCAGACCCCTAGGTTGTTCCTCCTGCAGGTAGAGCGCAGACGTTTCCTTCTCACCAGGCATCCTTCCCACCCCTATCAACCCTCTAGGCCCACGGGGGTGGGGGGTGTGTCTGGGACTTGGCTGGACTATTGCCATAGAAACAGCTGGAAGACCTGCCCACCACCAACTCCCACCTCTCTTCTCCATCACCTTTTCTCTTTTGAGATAGGGTCTCACTCTGTCAACCCAGGCTGGAGTGTGGTGGTGCAATCACAGCTCCCTGCAGCCTTGATCTCTGGGGCTCAAGTTATCCTCCCACCTCAGCCTCCTGAGTAGCTGGGACTATAGGTGCGCACCACCACCCGCGGCTCATTTTTTATTTTTTATTATTTTATTTTATTTTATTTTTTGTAAAGACAGGGTTTTGCTGTGTTGGCGAGGCTGGCTGGTCTCCTGCTTGAGCGATCTGCCCACCTTGGCCTCCCAAAGTGCTGGGATTTACAGGCGTGAGCCACCGCACCCAGACGACCCTTTCTCAGCCTGTATCTCCCTTCTGAATAGTTAGCAGCAGCAGCAAACACTTTCTTATGTCACCTGCAGTATGCCAGGCACTGTTCTAAGCTCTTTACACATATTTACTCAGTTCATCCTCCTGACCATTCAGAGATAACCATCCTCATCCCCATTTTACAGATGGGGGAACTGGGGCACAGGTAGCTTAGATAAGAACCTGTCAGTGTCAGGCAGCCGGCAGGAGGTCCAGCCGGGTGATGAACCACCCTGCTGTGGTTGTGGTTCAGCTGTGGACAGAGACACTTCAAACCTGACGCCATAAGCATGGTGTGCGTGCGTGTGCGTGTGCCTGTGTGAGAGAGGAACGAGACAGAGAGAGCACGCGAGAGAGCACCTGAGATCCGTTGATTACCAGATCTAAATAAAGGAGAGAAATTGGCATTTGGGGGCACTGAGGACAATATGGGTGTAAGTCAGTGGTTCTCCACGGGGGCCTCCTCGAAACAGGTGGACTTTTGGCAATGCCTGGAAGCATCTTACATTGTCACAACTCGGGGGGATGCGGTGCTCCCGGCATCGAGAGGGCGCTGCTAAACATCCCACAGTGCTCAGGACAGGCTCTCACCACAAAGCAGCATCGGTCCCCGAATGTCAGTGCTGATAAACCGTGCACTGCCTCTTCCCACTTGCCTGGTCTATAAACTCAAATTCTCAACTTCTCTCTCTCCTCCTCCCTCCCTCTCCTCCCCCTTCTCCTCCTCCCCTTCTTTTCTCCCTCCTTCCTCGTCTCCCTGACTCCTCCTTTCCCACCCACCCCTCATCTGTCTCCCTTCCTTCCCTCCCCGGCCCCCACTCCCCTCGACACCCTCCCTTCCCCTCCCCTCCCCTCCCCTCCCTTCCCCTCGCCACCCTCCCCTCTCCTCCCCGCGCCTCCCTTCGGCTGCCTCCCCTGCCCTCTCCTCTTCTCCGCCCCCGTTTCTTCTCCTTACATCGCGCCTCGCCTCGCTTCTCGTCCTAATGTCTGCACACCCCTCTGGTGTCTGTCGACCCTCCCAATCGCTTCTCCCGCATTCATCTCTCGCCTGATCCCGGTTCTGTCCGCCCATGCTCATTTCTCTCCCCCAGCCGTGCCCAGGCGCGTTTCCATTGCTCTCCCATTGTCGCCCACCGCGCGTGGGGCGGCCAACTTGGGCCCACGCAGCTCAGCTCCCTCCGCCCTTCCTGCCTCCTGGAGCCTGTTGCTCCCCACACTCTGCCGCCCCCCGCCCGCCCTCCCCAGCCTCTCTGCCCACCCATCTCCACGCTTCTCACCCTCTGACCGGCTCTCTCCCGCCCAGCGCTCCAACCTCTGCTCTCGTTCTCCCCGCAGCCTGGCGGCCCGGTGCGACCCCTGCACGCCCCATGCCGGCCCTCCTGCTCCTCGTACTCCTGGCCTCTAGCGCCGGCCAGGCCGGGGCGCGCCCGTCCAACGCCACGAGCGCCGAGTCCGCGGGCCCGCTGCCCGCCCTGCTGGCGCACCTGCGGCGCCTGACCGGGGCGCTGACGGGTGGCGGGGGCGCAGCGAGCCCGGGCGCCAACAGCACGAGGACCAGCCCCGCGAGCGGAGCGGGCGCGGCGGCCCGAGCGCCCCCTCCCGCCGAGCTCTGCCACGGCTACTACGATGTCATGGGCCAGTACGACGCCACCTTCAACTGCAGCACCGGCTCCTACCGCTTCTGCTGCGGCACCTGCCACTACCGCTTCTGCTGCGAGCACCGTCACATGCGCCTGGCGCAGGCCTCCTGCTCCAACTACGACACGCCGCGCTGGGCCACTACGCCCCCGCCGCTAGCCGGGGGCGCCGGGGGCGCTGGGGGTGCGGGCGGGGGGCCAGGGCCCGGCCAGGCCGGGTGGTTGGAAGGGGGCCGGACGGGGGGTGCCGGGGGCCGCGGGGGCGAGGGCCCCGGTGGCAGCACAGCCTACGTCGTCTGCGGGGTCATCAGCTTCGCCCTGGCCGTGGGAGTCGGCGCCAAAGTGGCCTTCAGCAAGGCGTCCCGTGCGCCCCGGGCGCACCGGGAGATCAACGTGCCCAGGTGCGTGTGCTCTGGGGCGGGAGGACTGCGAGCCTGGGGCGGGGCCCAGCAAGGGAGGTGGAGCCGTCCAAGGAGGAGGGGCTACAGGGATAGGGCATCTTCAGAGACCCAGGTGGCGGCCTCCCGCGGAGCTGAAGGTGCTCAGGGGCTGAGAAAGCCGTGCCAGAGCCGACCCGGCTATTGCGGAGTGATGCAGGGAGCGGGAGAAGCTCAGGCTCTCATTCATCGACACATATTTCTTGAGTATCTTCTGTGGGCCAGGAGCTGGGGATACAGGAGTGAACAAAACAAGGTCTCTGCCATGGTGGAAAAGCCTAACTTCCAAATCCAAGTTCACGGCCCACAGGCTGTGTGACAGTGGACGGGTTACTTAACCTCTCTGTGCCTCAGTTTCCCGTCCGCACAATGAGACTAATCATCGTCCCCACCTATTCGGATTGTAATTAACTGAGTTGATTCGTGCAGAGTCCTGGCACACCGTAAGTGCTCATTAAATATCAGCGGCCCAGTCCGTAAGCAGGCAAATGCATGTGCTGTATAATTTTAGATGACTGCTGTGAAGAAAATCAGCGGAAAGTGTGGAGGGAGAGGGCGCTGGATTAGAGGAAGTGATCCGAAAAGGCCTCTGAGCAGAGACCCAAAGGGAGGGAGCGAGCCACGCAGGGATCTGTGGGCGAGAGGTTTGGGGCAGGGGAACTGCGTGCAAAGGCCCTCGGTGGCCTGCAGGGCAGGGAAGTGCCCGTGCAGCTGGGGGCGGTGGGCAGTAGGAGGTGAGGAGAAGCAGGTGGGCCCGGGTTTATTCTAAGTGTGATGGGGCCACTGCAGGGTCCTGAGCTCAGGCGTGATGCCATCTGTCCATTTTAAAATTATGCGAGCTGCGCGTGAGACTGGGTTGTACGGGGCTAGGGTGGGAGGGGGGAGACCCGTGAAGGGGCTGTTGCAATGATCCAGGTGAGAGATTTCAGAGGTGGTGAGTAGTGGTCCGATTTGGGATATGTTTTGGAGGTTCGATCCGTAGGATTACTGAAAGGGATGAAGTTGGGGGAAAAAAGAAGAGTCAAGGTGATTTAATGTTTGAGGTCCGCATCACTGGGAAAATGGAGCACCCTTTGTTGCCATGGGGAAGGCTGCAAAAGGAACGGGAATGGGGTCCCAGATTCAGGGTGGGGTGAGCCCACAGGGAAGTGAGAGGGACCACAGAAGGGGTGGGGTCCACACGAGTTAAGGCAGCAGCGCTTCAAGCAGGAAGCGTGGCCCGAGAAAGGGGGTCGTTCGAGGGGGCGTGGCCAACGAGAAACGGGAGTGGCCAATGGCGAAAAAAGCAGGCTGAGTGACAGGTTACCCAAGGGCGAGAGCAGGGAGCGGAACGAAGCCTGGGCCCTCCCTGTACCCCTGCCGCCCCCAGACCCCAGGCCGCTGACCACTTCTCTGCCACCTTTAGAGCTCTGGTGGACATTCTGAGACATCAGGCGGGGCCTGGGACCCGCCCGGACCGGGCCCGAAGCAGCTCCCTGACCCCGGGGATCGGCGGTCCCGACAGCATGCCCCCCAGGACGCCCAAGAACCTCTACAACACCGTGAAGACCCCCAACCTCGGTGAGTGAAACGTGGGATCCGGCGCAGCCTCCGTCTCTGGCCACGCCCCCTCATCCTGTAGCCCCGCCCTCCATGGCGGCTCCACCCCCATCACCCCGGACCCGCCCTCACCCCTCTACGCCCGCCTGGCACCACCGAGTCCTGCGAAAGGCGGACGGGGGCTGGGAACTCCGTAGAGACCCAGACCACCTCCTTGCCCTTCTGTGCGCTCCAGTGGGCACCTTGGTGATGTAGGTTTAGACTTTCTCAAGCCCCTGCGCTCAGTGTCAGACCACCCGACAGCCAACTACACACAAGGGCTCAACTACCAAATTCGAATTTGTCAAGAGCCAGACCGACTGGGTTTGAATCCTGACTCTGCCACTGTGTGACCCGGGTCAAGTGACTTTACCTCTGTGGGCCTCAGTTTCTCCATCCGTAAAATGAGAAGCATGACAGTACTCACTTGATGGGGTTATTGTGAAGGGCAAATGAATTGGTGAGACAGGTGTTTAGAATAATGTGTAACAGACAAAAATACCATGTTAAGGGTGGGCTATTGCTGTTGTTAAATATATATATCTTTAGGATATATCATATTTAATATATATTACTTAAATATGATCTATATCATTATAATTTATGATGAGTGCATCAGTGGAGAAGTCCAAGGAGCTGTCAGGGGGACTGAGAAGATGTGGTCTGGTTTGGGGGCAGGAGGGCTTCTCCGAGGAAGAGGTATTTGAGCAAAGGCCTGGAGGAGGAGAGGAGTTACTGGGGCTGGGAAGCTCTGGGTAGCAGAGCTTGTGAGCTGGCCAGACTTGAGGACAGGGAGAGGGTGGTTGGTGACCTCCAAGAGGGCCTAGAGTGCCAGGCTGGGCTGAGGAGCTCTGCCTCTGTCCTGAGGGTGATGGAGAGCTGCAGAGGAGTTCGAGCAGAGGAGCAACACAGTCAGCAGTGCGTGGAAGAACTGGTCCTCTGGAACCCATGCAAAGGGGAGAGATGAGAGGAAAGAGTCCCAGGAGGAGGCTGGGATGATAGTCCAGGCAGCAAGAGGAGGAGGACGGAGCCGGGGTCAGGGGTGGAGAGGAGAAGAGACATTTGAGCTGGATCTTGAGGCAGATGGGAAGAAGGGCTTCAAGGCAGTGAGAACAGCATGGTGGCATGTGCAAAGGCCCTGTGGCAGGACCACACAGGGCTCACTGGAAAGAGCAATGTGGCTTGAGGGAAGGGATGGGAGATAGGGCTGCAGACATCCAGTGGGTCCAGGTTTTGAAGCCTCAAACATCATTCCTGGGTTCAACTTTGTCCCGTGGGTGATGGTGAGCCATGGGAAGGCTCTTGAGCAGTGGAAGGGCAGTTGCTTCGGTGAGGCTGATCATGGAGATGGATGGGCTGGATGGCCAGAGGCTGCTCTGGCAATCCAGGAGGGAGAGGACACATCAGGGCAGAGATTCAGATATCAGGAGGAACCAAGAGGACATGGGTGGGAGGTGAAGAGAGGTAGCAAGGTGACCCCCTCAGATCTCTAGCCTGGGCACCAGGGAAGGGGGGTGCTAGGAGCTTGGGACAGACCACTTACCCATCCCTGAGCCTGTGCCCACTCTTTCCACCTTCAAGACCCCCAGCCTCAGTTCATGTGGCCAATGGCATGGGTTGATCTGTAGAGCTCTAACGAGGTCCTGCATGTGGGGCCAACCTTGGGGCCAGAGTCCTTCCCAGAGATCAGGGCCGCGGTGCCAGCTGGGAGTCAGCGATGGCAGTGACGTCACCTCCCTTCTCGGTGCCCCCAGATAATATGCACCACAACTACCTGCACCTCAATGTCAACAGCCCCAAGCACCACACCGCCACGCTGGGTACGGATGAGGGGCTGGCTGCGGGAAAGAGCAGGGCTCCTTCCCCTCCCCCTTTGTGTTGGGCCAGCCATGCCAGGTGCCCAGTGTAGAGCAGGAGCAAGACCGCTGTGAGCTCAGTCCTCATGGCGCTCATGGTCTGGCCAGGTCGCCACGTGAACCTGTCTCCTCGTGTGGATGCCGAAAGTGGCCATCTCTCTCCCACATGCTTGAGGAGAAGGTGCATGGAGCCTGGGGCCAGGCACTCAGTGAATGCTGACAAATGCCTGGTGCCCCCTTCTCGGGGCCCTCTTCCCCAGCATCAAGCCTGTCTCTTGGAGAGGAGGGGGTGGGGTGAGAAGAGGGAGCTTGAACTGCTGGAATTATGATGGGCTACAATCTCAGATTTCTAACTGCCCAAAGAACTGCTGGGTCTGAGGGAGGAGGGGCTGGGGGCCTGGACTCCTGGGTCTGAGGGAGGAGGGGCTGGATGTCTGTTTTCCTGAGTCTGAGGGAGGAGGGAGCTGGGGCCTATACTCCTGGGTATGAGGTAGGAAGGGCTGGGAGCCTGGACTCCTGGGTCTTAGGGAGGAGGGGGCTGGGGTCTGGACTCCTGGGTCTATGGGAGGAGGAGTTAAGGCCTGGATTCCCGGGTCTGAGGGAGGAGGGACTGGGGCCTGGACACCTGGGTCTGAGGGAGGAGGGGCTGGGGGCCTGGACACCTGGGTCTGAGGGAGGAGGGACTGAGGCCAGGATTCCTGGGTCTGAGGGTGGAGGGGCTGGGGGCCTGGACGCCTGGGTCTGAGGGAGGAGGGCCTGGGGACCTGGACTCCTGGGTCTGAGGGAGGAGGGGCTGGGGGCCTGGACTCCTGGGTCTGAGGGAGGAGGACTGGGGCCTTGATTCCTGCGGTCTGGAGGAGGCTGGCTGCCACCTGGGTCTGAGGGAGGAGGGGCTGAGGCCTGGATTCCTGGGTCTGAGGATGGAGGGGCTGGGGCTTGGACTCCTGGGTCTGAAGGAAGAGGGGCTGGGTTTCTGGACTCCTGTGTCTGATGGAGGAGGGGCTGGGAGCCTGGACTCCTGGGTCTGAGGGAGGAACGTGACTGACCCTGGCCCTGCCCCCTCTAACCCAGATTGGCGAGCCTTGCCGCCGCCCAGCCCCTCCTTGCACTACTCCACGCTGTCCTGCTCTCGGTCCTTCCACAACCTGTCACATCTGCCCCCGTCCTACGAGGCTGCTGTGAAGTCCGAGCTGAACCGCTACTCCTCCCTCAAGAGGCTGGGTGAGTCCTAGCAAGGGCAGCGGGCGGGGAAGGGGAGGGGGCGGGGCCAGAGTCTGGGTTCAGGACCATGGACAGTGGCCCAAGCGCCTTCCAATGCTTTAGATTCTCTCCCAGGTTTTACTAACCAAGTTCGTTCTAGAATTACCTGAGGTACTTTTGTATCAGAATCACTTCTGGTTTGCTTCTTTTAAGTGCAACCTTCTGGTCTCCCCTCCCAGGACTTATTATTGTATTAATCAGGACTTGGACTTGCAATTAATAGAAATACAACTTAAGTTAAAGGAAAAAAAATACGTTGACTTGATCATGGAAAGTCTACAGGTCACCAGATTGCAATGTAGCCGCTGTGGGGGCCCAAGAGCTGTCTCTTAGCTCTCTACGCAACCGGCGGGCCTCATTTTCAGACAGTCTCCCCTTGTGGTGGAGACGATCGCCCTGCAGATGTTCAGGCTGCCGTTCTACCAGCTCAGGGACCCTGGCAGAAAAGAGTCTCTGGCAACAATTCTGGCAAAAAATCCCAGGCCTGGATGCCACTGGTGCAAGTTGGGCCACATGCCCATCCCTGAACCCATTCCTGTGACTCTCAAGGACATATTACAGTCTGTGGCCCATCTCTGGCAGTGGAGCAGCCTTCAAACATCTTAAAATGAGAGCCTCACTAGGAAACACTTGTTCTTCTTTGTTACCATTATGTTTTCAAGACAGGGTCTCACTCTGTCACCCAGCCCGGAATGTAGTGGCATGATCATAGCTCACTGCAGCCTCTACCTCCCCAGGCTCAAGCGTGATCCTTCCGTGTCAGCCTCCCGGGTAGCTGGAACTAAGAGCTTGTGCTGCCATGCCTGGTTAATTTTTGTATTTTTTGTGGAGATGGGGTTTCACTGTGTTGCCCAGGCTGGCCTCAAACTCCTGGGCTCAAGCAAGCCACCCACTTCAGCCTCTCAAAGTGCTGAGATTACAGGCATGAGCCACCATACTCAGCCAGAAACTATTTCTTTTTTCTTTTTTTGAGACAGAGTCTCGCTCTGTCGCTCAGGCTGGAGTGCAGTCGCATGATCTCGGCTCACTGCAACCTCCGCCTCCTGAGTTCAAGTGATTCTCCTGCCTTAGCCTCCTGAGTATCTGGGATTACAGGTGCATGCCACCACGTCTGGCTAATTTTTGTATTTTTAGTAGAGATGGGGTTTCACCATGTTAGTGAGGCTGGTCTCAAAGTCCTAACCTTGTGATCCACCTGCCTCGCCTCCCAAAGTGCTGGGATTACAGGCGTGAGCCACTGTGCCTAGCATTTTTTGTTTTGTTTCATTTGGTTTTTTGTTTTTTTTGAGATGGAGTTTCACTCTTGTTGCCCAGGCTGGAGTGCAATGGCACCATCTCAGCTCACTGCAACCTCTGCCTCTTGGATTCAAGTGATTCTCCTGCCTCAGTCTCCAGAGTAGCTGGGATTACAGGCATGCGCCACCACTCCCAGCTAATTTTTGTATTTTTAATAGAGACGGGGTTTCACCATGTTGGCCAGGCTGGTCTCGAACTCCTGACCTCAGATGACCCACCTGCCTCAGCTTCCCTAAGTGCTGGGATTACAGGCGTAAGCCACCGTGCTTGGCCCAGAAACGATTTTCATATTGTGACCCGTGAGACACACACACACATATATGTATATATTTTTAATTACAGGAAAGCTTTGAAATTTTTTATTACAGACATTTGCAAACATACATGCAAGTAGAGAAAATTATAAAATGAGCCCCAGGTTCCCATCACTCAGCCTTAATAATTAGCCACATTTTGTTAATCTATACTCCCTCCACCCCACTTTTTGGTGGATTCTTTTTGTTTGTTTGTTTTAAGAGACAAGATCTCACTCTTTTGCCCAGGCTGGAGTGCAGGGGTGCAGTCATGGCTCACTGCAGGCTCTACTTTCTGGACTCAGGCAATCCTCTGACGTCAGCCTCCCAAGTAACTGGGACTACAGGCATGAGCCACCATGCTTTAGCTAATCTTTTTTTTTTTTTTGAGACGGAGTCTCGCTCTGTCGCCCAGGCTGGAGTGCAGTGGCCGGATCTCAGCTCACTGCAAGTTCTGCCTCCCAGGTTCACGCCATTCTCCTGCCTCAGCCTCCCGAGTAGCTGGGACTACAGGCACCCGCCACCTCACCCGGCTAGGTTTTTTTTTTTTTTGTATTTTTTAGTAGAGACGGGGTTTCACCGTGTTAGCCAGGATGGTCCTCGATCTCCTGACCTCGTGATCCACCCGTCTCGGCCTCCCAAAGTGCTGGGATTACAGGCTTGAGCCACTGCACCCGGCCCCTAGTTTTCTCTTCTGGTCTATTTGATTTCATTTTTCAAAATGCTGCTCCCTACCCGCAGAATCAACTTCACAACGTAACAGGTCACAGCTCCAAGTGTGAGTCACATTGCCCCAGGATGAGAGGGGATCAGTGGTCCCCCAAAAGCAAGAGTTGGGTTGGGTTCTACTCCCAAAAGAAGGGATAGGCAGAGGCGGGGGAGAAGAAGAGGAAGTCCTCCACATCTACTGACCCAGCATTGTGGGCTGGGCCTGGGAATCTGCATTTTGGCCACACAGCTAACCTGATGCCCGGGATCCTTGTGGGGCGACAGACCTGCATGGGAGCGGGGTGTGAGGAGGTGGGAGGGGGAGGGCTCTGGATGTGCAGGGGACCCACCGCTGTGGCTTTTCCCCCTCTCCCCGCAGCCGAGAAGGATCTGGACGAGGCCTACCTGAAGCGCCGGCCCGTGGAGTTGCCCCGCGGCACGCTGCCCCTGCACGCGCTGCGGCGGCCGGGCACCGGGGGCGGCTACCGCATGGAGGCCTGGGGCGGCCCCGAGGAGCTGGGCCTGGCGCCCGCGCCCAACCCCCGGAGGGTCATGTCCCAGGAGCACCTGCTGGGCGATGGCGGCCGTTCGCGCTACGAGTTCACGCTGCCGCGGGCGCGCCTCGTGTCGCAGGAACACCTGCTGCTGTCCTCGCCCGAGGCCCTGCGCCAGAGTCGCGAGCACCTGCTGTCGCCCCCGCGCAGCCCCGCGCTGCCCCCCGACCCCACCGCCCGGGCCAGCCTGGCCGCCTCGCACTCCAACCTGCTGCTGGGGCCCGGGGGACCCCCAACACCGCTGCGCGGGCTGCCGCCGCCGTCCAGCCTGCACGCCCACCACCACCACGCCCTGCACGGCTCGCCGCAGCCCGCCTGGATGTCCGACGCCGGCGGGGGCGGGGGCACGCTGGCCCGCAGGCCGCCCTTCCAGCGCCAGGGCACGCTGGAGCAGCTGCAGTTCATCCCGGGCCACCACCTGCCCCAGCACCTGCGCACGGCCAGCAAGAACGAGGTGACTGTCTGAGGCCAGGGCCGGGGCTGGGGGGCTGCGGCCTCCCGGGCCCCCCGTCCCAGCCGGGATCCCCCGACACAGGCGCACACACGCCAGGGGCCTGGGGCCCAGATCGGCCCTTGGACAGGAGTCAAAGCCTCCTTCCGGGATGTCCTGGCAGACAAGATTCCTCCTCCTATTACGTCACTGCTTGAGCCAAGGCCTCCTTCCCATGATGTCATCCCAGAGGAAGAGGCCGGCCCATGAGGTCATCGCTAGCAAACATGTCTGTGTTCTGTGATGTCATCACAGGGACAAGGCCTCCTTCCCATGAGCTCATCACAGAGGAAGAGGCCAGCCCGTGAGTCCTCGCTGGAGGCCATGTCCATGTTCTACGGTGTCCTCAGAGGCTTCCTGCTTGTGGTGTAGTAACAGAGATGATGCCTTGCCCCATGGCATTCGATCCTGTGGTGTCACTGCAGAGACAATCTCACCTCTAACTCCAAGGCCTCTTTTGGCATCATCGCCATGGGGAAGGTATTTCTCCCTGTGTCTCTGCAGCAGAGAAGATGCCTCTGTCCTATGATGTCATCGTTACAGACAAAGCCATCTTCCTGGGACACGTCGCAGGGGAAAATGCCTCACCCATTGTGTCCTCACTAGACCTAAGGTCTCCTTTTCACCACATCATCACAGGGACCCTGCCTCCTTCCTGTGATGCCATCACCAGAGAAGGTGCCTTGCCCTATGACGTCATCAGAGGGACCGTGCCTCTTCCTGTGATGTCATCACCAGAGATGACCACCCACTCTGGGACCTCTCCAGGAGCAGGCCCCTTCTGCACTGTCGCCCAGAGGCTACGTGCTCTGAGATGGCACGAGGAGAGGCCTCCATTGCTGCCACCATGTTGTAGAAGGCAGGGCAGGCCCGGAGTCCAGGACAACCCCAGGGAAGATGCCAGGGAGCAGAGAGGAGCCCTGTCCTGAGACGTTGTCTGAAGGAAGCATCGCTGGGGAGCTGCCCATGTGCAGGGCCTCCTCCAGAAATGATGGTCTGTGTAGGCTGTTGGCAGTGAACCCCCTACCCCAGTGCTGTGATGGCATCACCAGAGCTTCCTCCTCAGAGGCACTGCCCACTCTGGGAGGCCATCGGTATTGATGGTGTCACCAGAGTTACTGCCTTGTCCCACCGTGACTTAGCTTGGTTGCTCCCTCCCCAAACCCAAGGGACATGCCCAGCAGGATCTCTGCTAGACCCTCTGAGAGGAAATGGGGCCTTGGATCCCATACCTGTGCTATGACTCCTGGGAGACAGAACCACCAGATGCCCTTCTGCTCCCAGGAGGCCACTCTGGATCACCAGGATCCTGGAGTCCTGGCACTCATAGGTGTCCTATAGCCTGGCCTCACTCTTCTTTCTGCCATATCTAGAGACAATCGCCTCTGTCAACAAAGTCCTAGCCTTCTACTGGGGGGAGGTGCTTGAGGTACATCTACTCTTGCCCTCACTGACACTGTCAGCACCACACAATACCCGCCACTCATGATGGCACTGTACCTGGGGTCAAGTGTTACCCATGTCTGAGGATGGAATCCTTTCCCAGGATTCCCTATGACCCCCAACTATGGTAACATCTTCTTCCAGGATTTACCATGACTAATGGTATCACTATCTCCCAAGACTCTCCATAGCCAACGGTGTCACCACCCTCCATGATTCCTCACAACCACGGTGTCATCATCTTTCAGGAGCCACCACAGCTGACGATGTCATCATTTCCTAGATCCCACCATGACCAATGATGACATTACCTTCCAGGATCCACTATGCCTGACACAGACATCCTCTACTGAAATCCACTAGGACTGATGATGCCACCATTTCCCATAATCCCTCATGATTTTGGTGTCATCACCTCCCACGACAGAACCATGGTGTCATCCTCCCAGGATCCACATCAACCATGGTGTCATCATATCCCAGAATTCATTACACCTAAGAGTGTCATGATGTCATCACCTGCCAGATCCACTTTAACCGTGTGTCTTCATGTCCCAGGAGTCACCATAGCTATTATGTTATCAGTTCTCAGGATCCGCTCCAACCATGATGTTATTATCTCCCAGGATCCATGAGGTCCAGTGCTGTCACCACCCACTAGGATCCACCATAACCCTGGTGTCATCGTCTCCCAGGATCCATGAGGTCCAGTGCTGTCACCACCCACTAGGATCCACCATAACCCTGGTGTCATCATCTCCTGTGATCCATGAGATCCAACGTTGTCACCACCCACTAGGATCCACCATAACCCTGGTGTCATCTCCCAGGATCCATGAGGTCCAATGTTGTCACCATCCACTAGGATCCACCATAACCCTGGTGCCATCATCTCTCAGGATCCACGAGATCCAATGTTGTCACCATCCACTAGGATCCACCATAACCCTGGTGCCATCATCTCCTGTGATCCATGAGATCCAGTGCTGTCACCACCCACTAGGATCCACCATAACCCTGGTGTCATCCCAGAGTCCACTGCAACCATGTGCCATCACCCCCCAAGAGCCATCATCTTAGGAGCCAAGTACCGTGACGGGCTGTATTTCAGTTGTCCTCTGGGGCCGCATGGTACTTACAGTAGTTCACTTAAGGGGAACCAGCATAACAGGCCATATTCCCGTTTCCACAAAAAGGACAGGGGCGGGGCCAGCTGCCCCCCTCTGATGACTTCACCCCCACTCTGGCCCTCCTTATGTCACTGCCTCACTCCTGACTGAGGATGTTGCCTGGATCAACCCCACCACAGATGTGGCCTCAGCCAACCTCACCTTACCCCCCGGTGAGGCACCCAGGCCCCTCCTGACAGCAGCGCTGCCCTCACCCAGCCATCTGACTGGTGACAGGGTCAACCCAGAAACCTCTCATCATCAGAGGGGAAGCATTTCAACCCTCAGGTGACACCACTGCCCCCTGCCCAGTCCCTGTCACTGGGGCCCCTACCAGGATCAGCTCTCTGCTGGCCCCGGCCAAATTCTCCTCAGATATCCCCGACCCCCGCAGGATGGGCCAAAGCTGGTGACCGACCTGGGGCCTTCAGGGCTGTCTTCTGCCGGCCTCCTCCTGCAGCAGGGACGCTGGAGAGCAACGGTCCCTGCCAGCACATCTGCAGGGGCCAGGGGTGCTCCTTCACCTCCCTCCCTAACACCCTAACACCGGGGGAGCCTCCAGGGGCGGCAGGAAGTCCCCAGCACCCACTGCACAATCTGCCCTCAATTCTCTTTGTACATAGCCATGTTGCGGGGGCGGCCATTCCCCCACTCTTAAAGGGCTACACGCCCCTCCCCCAGCCCCTAGGGCAAGGTGGGGGGGGTCTCTTCTTCCTCCCCTGGGCCGTCCCCCTCCCTCTTATGTCTCCCCGCAAACACTGGCACCTCACCCTCCTTCTTGTCAGGAGCTTGGGGCAGAGAGCTGGCCCTTGGCTCACACCACAGCGAGGAAACGGCACACTGAGGAAACGGGGCGGTTACCCAAATCTACCTAGGCCCTGGTGCCAGTTCTTCAACCCCACAGCTTCTAGCTGCTCTGAGGAGCTCCTCCCATCCCTTCCGGGGCCTCCCCAGCCCGACACCGCTCAGGCCGACTGTGACTTCCCCAGAAAGGAGCCAGCTTGAGCGCCCGCCCCCTCGCAGCCCCCTCCCAGCCCCCTCCCCTCTGCTCCACACCTCCGCGGAACACTCAGCTTTCTCCAGCCGCCAGGATTTGGGGGTTCGGGCCTTTCAGCTTTTGTATCCCCCTCCACTAGCTCTAGGCCAGCCTGGATTCCAGGAATCCCGCCCCCAGCCCTGTCCCCATTCAGGCGGCACAGGCTGCCTGACCCTGGGGCCTTGATCTGACCTCAAATAAGCCATAGAGGGGAGAAGTCTTGAGGGGTGGGAGCCGGTGTGTACTGACAATTCCCCTCCACGTGTCCTGAGCTGGGACCTTGTCATCTGCCCCAACACATGCAAATGCACACAAATCCATGCATACACAAGCACGCACGTATGCGTGCGCGCGCACACACACGCACACACACACACACACACAGCTCCTCAGCCCTCTGGAGGTACTGGGAACCCCTGACAGCGCCCGCCACCCACGTCCTGGCTAATTTTTTTTTTATTTTTTATTTTTGTTAGTAGACGATGGGTTCACCATGTTAGCCCGGAATGGTCTCGATTCCTGACCTTGTGATTCCCGCCCATCCTCGCCTCCAAAGTGCTGGGATACAGGCGTGAGCCCTGACCCGAGCCCAATGACAGAGGCTTTAGAACAAAACCCAGGAAACTTAGAAGCACCTCAGTGCACCCACCTTCCCAGTCCCCTGACCCTCCCTTCTCTTGGTGGTGGGCCTGGCCCTGGGAACATAGATGGCTTTAGAAAAGCCCATCCTTTGCACATTGCCCATCCTGCTACACCCAGTACAGGTGGAGGCCAAGGGGGCCTCCCCTGTGGACCCACAAAACATGGGATGGAAATCCCATCCTTTCTCCCACAGTAAGCCTGAAGAACTTTCGGATCAGGAAAGATGTCTATTTATTCCAGACAAATACCCAAGCAACAGCTCTCTGGCTGTCCTCACCAGGAACAGTTTGGGGAAGGGGCCAGTGGTTGAGAGGGAAGGGAGAGGAAGGGAGGGTAGGAGAGCAGAGCTGTGAGTCCTGCAGGTGTGGAACTATTACTTCTTCCTGGAACCGGCCCGCCTCCATGCTCCCCCAGCAGAAAGGGAGATGCCTGTGTGGGTGGTGG